GGGAGAGCGGCGTATGTTTAGGTTGACGTGGCGGTCGGCGCGGAATCCGGCTCCGGTTCCAACCCGGAGCTGAGGGACACGCTCTAACCGCAAAGTCCACGCCTCCCCCCGCACTTCTGGGACCGGCGCTGCCGGGGGCCGGACGCAGGCCAGCGAAGCCCGCCCCTTCCGGCGCCTGTTGCTATGGTGACGGGGAAACCCAAAGGGCCCGCTGGGCTTGCGATTTTCCGGTGATCCAGTTCTTAAAGGGAAGGCGGGGCTACAGAGGATTGTTCTGGTGGGTGGGTGGGTTGGCAGAAGGGAAATTTTGCAAAAGCAGGGAAAGCTTGGACCCTGGACGGGTTGCTCAGTTGGTTAGAGCGTTGCCCCTATACACCAAGATTGAGGGCTCAATCCCTGGTCAGGGCACATGGGAGAATCAACCAATGAAAATCAGCCAATGAATGCATAAGTAAGTGGGACAACAAACTGACATTGCTCTCTCTGCCCCCCGCCCCTTTTTTTTCTCCCTTAAAAAAAAAGGAAAGCAGGTAGGGAATATATGTACATTAACACTCGCACACATACACAGGTTCATATTTGCATATATATGAAACTATGAGTTTACACCAAAACTTCCAGTTCCAATATAATGTCACAGGAGTCATTCCAGTTTTCTCCCTTCTCCAGGTGTAGCTCCTTTCCCTGACAACGAGAAATCTGGTTCCCATTATCCTTGCTTTCTATGTACTTAACTTTCAATTCCCCCATATGTAACCGATCTCCCATCGCTGGTGCTAGCCCCTTTCCTGTGCAGCTGCCCTCTTCATCCTGCTTGGGTTCCCACACTTTATGTTGGGCTGCTCTTCACTCAGGTTCCAAACTATGTCAGGCTGCCTTCCCACAGAGACACCATGAAAAGGCTCCAACATGCAGTCACTCACTGCCCTCTCCCCCCTTCCTTTACCTCTGCCCAATGTGGGCACACTCCTCACCTTGGTTGGACTCTGACACTGCCCACCCACCTAATGGCTTTTGGTTTGAATTATTCAGGATGAGGAAGGGTTGTGATTATTTTTAAACTAGAGGCTCAGTACACGAAATTCGTGCACGGTAGGGTTCCTAGGCCTGGTTGGAGATCAGGGCCGATCAGGGCCTTCTGGCTGCTGGCCAGGGCCTTCCTTTGTTCCATGCTGCCCCCTGGTGGTCAGCGCCTGTCATTGCTAGTGATCGAACTCCCGGTCTCCTGGTTGAACTCCTGAGGGGACACTTTGCATATTAGCCTTTTATATACAGTGGGGCCTTGACTTACGAGTGTCCCGACTAACGAGTTTTTCGAGTTACGAGCCGTCTCTCGGCCGATTTTTTGCTTTGAGTTGCGAGCTAAAATTCGGGTTATGAGCCAGCTTCAGATACCCCACCGCTAGTTGGCGCAGCGAACGTCATAGTGAACGCCACAACATCAGCCCAGCATCACATGTCTCACTCGTTCACTTTTTGATTTGACATACGAGTAATTTGAGTTACGAGCTCCGTCATGGAACGAATTAAACTCATAAGTCAAGGCCCCACTGTATATAGGTTACTATTTAAGCTACTGTGGGAGGGCAGTAGCAAATATTGGAAAACTGGCTAGGAGACCATTGTAATGGACCAGGTGGTAGATGATGAGCTTGGACTAGGGTGGCGTTAGTTCATAGAGAAATGAACAGAAAAAATAGGAGGTAATATGTATAGGATTTGGTGAGGAATTGGTCATCGTGGGGAACAGAAAGATATCTGAAAGCACATTTCTACTTCAGATACTTGACATCAGGAATGTCCACTTGGTTCAGGGAAATCAAAGCCTTGCCAGCCTCAGTATAATAATTCAAAACTTGATACACTGCATGAAATATGTTACAACAAAGGGACTTCTTTGTTTCATTTTTAGTTCCAGCTGGAGAATTGCTACTCATCTTTTGAGACCCAGTTCATGTTTTTTCTGAAAATGATTTTCTGTAAGCCATTCAAGCAGATTTGATCAACCATCTTCTATTATTGCATTTATCATACCATAATATAATTACATTTCATTGGTTTGTCTACTATAATGAATTCTTTGAGATTAGGAATAAATTATTATTATTTTTTTGCTTTGCAATACTCTAAATATTGGGTGCATTAAAGATCTGCTTCAAAGTACAATGATACAATGAGACCTTATTTTCTGTTATTATAATTTGGGCCATTTCAAACAAACACATTCCTTTGAAGACTTCTGGTCAAGATGGTGATGTAGGTAAATGCGGTACTCGCCTCCTCTCACAATCACATCAAAATTAAAACTAAACTACAGAACAACCATCATTCAGAACCACCTGAAACCTTGCTGAATGGAAGTCCTACACTAGGGAATTAAGGAAGAAGCCATATCAAGACTGGTGTGTGTGTGTGTGTGTGTGTGTGTGTGTGTGCGTGTGTAGGGGAGGCGGAGATGCAGAACGTGCTGGTCCCACACCCATGTGTGCCGATAAAAATCAGGAGGGATTTCTGTCTTCCTCAGCCCCACACCAGGCCCCCCATCCAGGGTTCCAGTGCTAGGAAGAGAAGTCCCCACAACTTCTGGCTCTAAAAGCCAGTGAGGCTGAGGAAGACAGAGAGCTGCTGGAGTCCCAGTCACGCTGACTCCCTCCCTCTGAGTTCCAGCACAGGGGCAGCAGCTTGAAAAGCACCAGAGGCATATGGGGAGGAACTGAATTGTCCAGTGCTGGCAGAGGCCATTGTCCCTTTGATGAAACCTGTCTACCCCCCTATATCCTCCCCCCTGCCCCCCCCCAATCGAATTTTATTTATTTTTCCACCAATGCCTAGTTAGGGCAGTGCTTGGCATCTATTCAATACATGCATTACAATAAACTGAAGACTCAGTATTTATTATACGCAGAGTGGAAAGAATAGTTCTTTGTTCCTAAAAGTCCTTATTGTCTGGCCTCAGGGGGGAGGACGTGGAGAACACACCCATTCACATGTAGAAATATACAGTATTATGTTGAATGAGTGATTTAAACAATATGTTTCATAGGGACTCAATTTTGAGCTGAAGTGCTCAAAGTAGAATGAAAGAACATTATGGGTGTTTCTAAATAAAGAATTCCTTAACAGACTTGGAATTTTAGAACCAGGTAGAAATTTTAAAGTTCCTTAAACTCATAGGGGAGGAAATAGGTCCAGGAAGGTTGATGAGTATGACTTGCCTAAAGACACTCAAATCTAAATGGTTGAAATGGAATATAACCTGTTTTCTGTTTTCTTAGCCAGTGTGAAATGATAATGAGGATCATAATAAGTGAAACTTACATATATTCCCAGGTATTATATCAAGCATGTTACTTATCTTAACATTTTTAATTGTCATAACAACTCTATGAAGTAAGTGCATTTATTATGTCAATTTTAGAGATGAGAAAAATGAGGCTAAGAATGGTTAAGCTACTAGCCCAACATTGCAGTTAGTAATGGTAGAAGTTGGATTCCAACCTGGGCAGATGTGGAGTCCATAAGGAAACGCCACAATCAGTTCATTGAAGTACTTTTATTATTATTATTATTTTTATTTTTATTGATTTTTTACAGAGAGGAAGGGAGAGGGATAGAGAGTTAGAAACATCGATGAGAGAGAAACATCGATCAGCTGCCTCCTGCACACCCACCACTGGGGATGTGCCCGCAACCAAGGTACATGCCCTTGACTGGAATCGAACCTGGGACCCCTCAGTCCCCAGGCCGACGCTCTATCCACTGAGCCAAACCGATCAGGGCCATTGAAGTACTTTTTGATAGCATTTATTTAAGCTAAGTAAGGTGTTATTGTCACAGAGTTTTTAATAACAAAATAACCCATCACATGAGCTTGATTTTGGGGATAAATTGTAATATTTTATTAGGTCAGACCTAATTTGTAAAGACAAATTGATTGATGTTTTAAAATCACCTACAGCACTTACTAGTGGACTTGGCATTCAACATATGTGTTGAATTCAGTTGAATTTGTAGTTGTTCATATTTCTATGATAATTGTAATTTTATATTTTTATCTCCAATAAAGAGGTCTGCCTCCAGCTGTAACTGACCTTTCTTTTGTGCTTATTTCCTTACATTCCAATTATTCTGACACTACATTTCATTAAAAATGTTATGTGGTAATTAACACTTTAGTTTTTTTTTTTGGCACTAATTCCTACATAAATATTTGCTAAGATGAATTGATAGCAAACACAAAGCAAGTATGGATTAACAGTCCTAGTGAAATACTTTTTCTTTCCATTTTACTTGATAAACAACAGAAGAC